TGTTCTGAGTAGTTGCCAGGGTGTTACTATGCGTTAGTGGGGTAATTTATGGCAATCTGGGTGTTTTCTAGCACGTTACTATGCAGTTGCCCAGATGTTATGAGTAGTTGCCAGAGTGTTGTTATTGTGTTATGGGTGGATACCAGTCTTTTGGGTAGTTGCCTGGGAATTACTATGCATTGCCGGGGTGATATAAGGTGTTCTAGGTTGTGTAGTTGTCCAGATGTTATGAGTAGTTGCCGGGGTATTCTTTGTGTGTTCTGTGTGGATACCAGTGTTCTGGGTAGTTGCCAGGGTGTTTACTATGCATTATTGGGGTAATATGGCAATCTGGGTGCCGGGGTAAGGTGTTCCAGGTTGTGTCTAGGGTGTTACTATGCATTATTGGGGTAATATGGCAATCTGGGTGTAATCTGGGTGCCGGGGTAAGGTGTTCTGGGTAGTTGCCAGGGTGTTTACTATGCGTTATTGGGGTAATATGGCAATCTGGGTGCCGGGGTAAGGTATTCTAGGTTGTGTCTAGGGTGTTACTATGCAGTTGTCCAGATGTTATGAGCAGTTAACGGGGTATTCTTTGTATGTTCTATGTGGATACTAGTGTTCTGGGTAGTTGCCAGGGTGTTACTATGCATTATTGGGGTTATATGGCAATCTGGGTGTTCTAGGTGGTTTCCAGCATGTTACTATGCAGTTTCCCAGATGTTATGAGTAGTTGCCAGAGTGTTGTTATTGTGTTATGGGTGTTTTGGGTAGTTGTCTGGGAGTTACTATGCATTGCCAGGGTAATATAAGGTGTTCTATGTTGTTTCTAGGGTGTTACTATGTAGTTGTCCAGATGTTATGAGTAGTCGCCGGGGTATTGTTTGTGTGTTCTGTGTGGATACCAGTGTTCTGGGTAGTTGCCAGGGTGTTACTATGCGTTATTGGGGTAATATGGCAATCTGGGTGTTCTAGGTGGTTTCCAGCATGTTACTATGCAGTTGCCCAGATGTTATGAGTAGTTGCCAGAGTGTTGTAATTGTGTTATGGGTTTTTTGGGTAGTTGTCTGGGAGTTACTATGCATTGCCGGGGTAATATAAGGTGTTCTAGGTTGTTTCGGTGTTACTATGCAGTTGTCCAGATGTTATGAGTAGTTGCCAGGGTATTGTTTGTGTGTTCTGTGTGGATACTAGTGTAATAAATGGTTGCCAGAGTGTTCTGGGTAGTTGCCAGAGTGTTACTTGTTGGGGTAACATATGGTAACCTGGGTGTTCTGAGTGGTTTCTTGGTTTTACGATGCAATTGTTCAGCTATCATGAGTAGCTGCCATGGTGCTGTTAGCGTCTTCTAAATGAATGCTGGGTAATATGTGCCTGGGTGATTTGGTTTTTATTGGAGGTTGCCAGGGTGTTGCCTAGGGTGTTTGCCAGAGCATTATCCATCCCAAATGTTCTGGATGGTTTTTACGGTACTGATATGATTTGTTATGGTATGGGTACCCGGGTGTTCCAGATGGTTTCTGGGTTTTATTATGTTGATGTTGAGTGCAGTGAGAGGTTCCCAGGGTCTTGGTAGGGTGTTCTAGGTGGTTGCCAAGGTAATATGTTGTTGACCGATTGGTTTCCATTGTGTTACTATGTGCTTGTTAGAATATTATGAGTGGTTCCCAGGGTGTTGCTAAGGGGCCAGGTGGTTATCTGAGTGTTTCAGGGGGTTAATATACAGTTGCCCAGGTGTTTTGTCTTATTGTTAGGGTGGCAATGGTGCCTGCCAATTCGTTGCTACGCAGTTGCCGGGGTGTTGCACAAAGTAGTCTGAACATCTCAGCTCACAAATAGCACAGCATGAACAATTGCAATAGAGGAAGTTAACCGGTAATTGGAGAGACTGCTACTAAGAAAAAAACAACAAAAAAAAAAGAAAAGATGTTAGATTGAAAGGAATAAATATTCACCAATGGTAAGTGCATATGTAAAGCATGGCGCATATGTAACTCAGAGTCAGAGACCTGACGTTTTTCTGGCATATGAATACACCCTATTTACACTCATATACACTACACTTACAGCTGCTTATTCACGGGGATATGAAAATTTAAACCACTTGGCAGTGTGAAATGACACCATGCTAATGTGCTTATCCATAATTCATTACCTCAATCCATTTTGCAGTGAACACAGTGTGTGTATGTGGTGTGTGTGTGGCCAAATGTCCCCAAAAGGATAGTAAAACCTGAGATCACTTACATTGTGGGGATCAGGCAGGGGTCTCCATGAGGGAAATTGATTAATAAACATACTAAATGATGGTAAAACTAAACGTCTTCTGCGATGGGGTGGCTATAACAGAAAGCTACACTGTGAAGTAGCTGTCTGTATATTTTTCACAGATGAGTTACAAACAACTTTGTCGTATAGCCTACTGTGTTAACCATAAGCTGATGGTGTCATGCTTTGACCTCTTCTGCTGACAGCACAATTTACACTTTTTCTGAACATTTGTGGTTCTTAACAATTCTCAAATAAAACTGTTTTTGTATATCTTCTTCACAGTATATTTGTGTGAAACTAAAACTATAAATTGTGGCTGGCAAAGTTTACATTGTCACATTACTCTCGTGAACTTGTGAAAAGAGTGCTGTGGTGATTGAGAATGAGGAGTCACGTGCCTATTTGGGCGGGGTCTGAGCCGGTCGGCCATGATGGTAGGAGACGCTATCGGTTACCAGGGGCAACGCCTTTAATTAGAACCCATAGACACGACTAAACATTCCAGAGCTCTTTAATTTTCGCGCATTTATTATTTTGGCAGGACAGAGACGGATCTAAGAATATGAGAAAAAAAGGAAGAAAGTAAAGCAATGCTAAAAGATAAGGCGAAAGAAAAGGGACCTTACAGGAACAAACTCACACAAAGTGCAAAACAGCTGTATTTGGAGAAGCAGCATCAATATATTTGTTCTTTTGCACTAATAACAGTATTATTATTTTATCATTATTACGTATGTTGTCCATGAAACTTATGTTGTCCAAATAGCCTATATATTTCAGTTCTCAATAAATATTGTTAAGCCATATCAAATTGTTTCAAACATTTCAATGAAATAAAAAAAGTAATGAACAAGGCACTCAAACAACACTTATATGTTCGTTAAGGCACAGCAAACAGTGAAAATCGTATACTAAAGGCATCAGCAAACCTAGCAATCCGGCGTCTCCTCGTTAGATCAGACTCCTGCTGTGTCAATTTCTGTAACCCCAAAAACTTAATTCCATTGTTCCTATGTTTTCCATATGTACCGTGTGAGTTACTGGAGGAGTTCTTAACGCAGCAGTGACTTCCAGGCATGGTAAAACAGTGCGGTATTGCGAGAAACTCCTCTACTACCGAGCTAAAAACACACGTAATCATTACTGTTTTGCCGTGGGAATCCAACCAACATGGCGGAGAGGGGAGGGGCTCTGTAAAATGACGTCAACTCCTCATTCTCAATAACTTGGTAATTCAGTATAAAGCAAACAAAATCAAAGAAATTTCCCTTAAACTAATTTATAAATATTACCCAAGTAATCTTTATCTTGTGACCAGATTTAATTGTGATATTGATACATTTTGTACATTTTGTGGTCTACATGATGAAACATTTTATCATTTATTTTGGAGTTGTCCTCATTCAGTTTGTTTTTGGTCTGATTTCTGCTCCTTTATTACGGCTCACATCATGCCCAGATTTCAACTCTGCTTCAAAAATGTGTTATTTGGTTTTTTCCTTTATGACCAATCTTATCGTAAGGAATACTACCTAATTAATCTTCTTCTTCTGTTAGCTAAATTTAGTATCCATAAATGTAAATTTGGTGGAAACAAGCCTTTGTTTTTAATTTTAAGAGCAGAAATTCAACAATACCTAAAAACAATACTGGGTTTGAAAAATAAGAAAGCTGCAAAATGTGTATCTATATGTAAACATTTTCACATTTTTGTTTAACTTAAGTTTATCACTGCTTTGTTTGTCTTTTCTTGTTTTTTTAATTTTGTTTATTCAACCCCTGACTGTAATTGTAATTCTTGAAAAAAATAATAAAAAAAAATAAAAAAAAATAATTCAGTATAAAGTAAGGTACTCGATGATTAAAACAAAATCCAAGGTAGGCTAATGTAAAAAAAAAAAATCGTCCAAAACAGAAATGTGCACTTTCTGAGCAGGTTCGAAAAATATTTATGCTTTTTGGTTACTTTAGGGATGTCATAAGATTTGAATGTGTTTCTCATTGACCTCGTCTGAAATAACATTTAAATGGACAAATACACGGAGGCAGTAAAATGTGGCGATTTGCTCTCAAACCTGTAGGAAGCAGCTTTTATAGTCTGTCTGGTGTATTTGTATGTCTGGTTTCAGTTTTCAACATGAACAATAAGGCCTCTGCTTTGTTTTCGTCTGAGCAAAATCCGAAAAAAAGAAGAAAGTCCATGAAAACACTGCCCTCTGCTGTCCAAGGTCTGACTCACCTACCTGACCAAACTCGCCCTCGATTAGAAAATAATAGTTATGATATAATATCTAGTATGTGTATATGTGCATTGCCTGAGCTTAGCTGCTATAGTAATTAGATCTATCTATGAAGACCATGTCCGACTGATACACTGCTCAATGACCTGAGAAATTCTGTAATTGTTTAATCAACCCTCAACATTGAATCACACAGGAGATGCTGTAACTCGTGTGTGACACCATACTGAACTGCTACTAAATGTGGTTTACCAGCTTTAAATGACAATATTTAAACATTCAAACATAAACCATTTATTTCCATGTGCACATTCCTAGTTTTATTTGGTTTATTAGTTCTAGTTAAAATGTCTCATGGATTTCACAAAATATGATAAAAAAAACAGGACCAAATTATCATATTGAAATGATTTCTCAAGGATCATGTGACACTGTAGACTGAAGTAATGACTAATTTTCACTATCCAATCAATTCCTGACAGTTTCATAAACATGAATTCACACAGAGAAAAAGATGTTTGTTTTAATTTATTTATGATTATTATAAAGCTACAATGTACAGATTGTTCCGAACTGGTGAAAGGAGGGGGGGATCATTTCTCCCCGGCTTTTGGGGGCATCCACTCGTGGATCTTCTTGCGAGTGGTTGAATAGGGCACGTAGCAGTTTGATGTGCCACTGAGGTTGAACTGATGAACCTTGGCAAGGAACTTCTTGGGTTCTGGAGGGTGAGTGGTGGGAGGGTAATCTGTCATGCAGTGCAACCAACGGTGCCTGAGAACAACATTGAAAGAGAGAAAAAGGGAAGATACATGATTGTATAAGATTATGATTGTACACTAACTAACTTTGAACAAAAGCAGTGAGAATTTCTCTATAAAAACATGCAAATGTATTCTCAAACATTTTTATTCTATTCCATTCTGTGCTTGTTTTTGTACAATACATACAATTAAATAAAATTAAAACTATTAAATTAATAAAAATGCTCTATAAACCAATAATTACATAATCTAATCTTAAGGGAAAAAACTACATTTTACAAGGCAAAGGGACACTAGAAACTAGAAAGAAAATAACTCCATTAAAAACATTATGCCAAATACATCTGTTTATAATACCATTCAGCAGGGACCATGCTACCATCAACATCCCACAAAGTCTTCTTTCCGTTCATCTCTGTGGTGTAAATCACCCATCGGTGACGGCCTGGAAGAGAAACCGTGAAAAATACACACTCATACATAGAACACAGTGAATTTGAATTTGTAGACAACTAAAGTATGTAAATTAATACCGAAAAAGTTTTTGTTGTCCTCATAGTATTTGTTGCCATATTTGTCAACACCCACCAAGGCTCCTGTCTTGATATCATTCACCCTGATAAAGACATTTCAATTATGTCAAATCAATTACAAATATATTGAGCGTAATTTAATATAATAGTAGTATGTATATTAGCAAATAGCACATTAATAATAAACTCCCTGCAAAAAGGACAGTGGCAACAGCATAGATATCCATAAAGGTCCATAACTATCTATATGTTGCTAAAGGTCTTAGTGTTTAAAGAGATATTTACTGTAAATTGACATGCCAAGTAAAATACATTCTCCAGTTGTTCAGTGTTTCGTATTCATATGTGTGTGTGACTGACTGAACAGTGCTATCAAAGAGGTCATTGCATTGGGTTCAGTGTCTTGCAGTTTTACACATTTCATTTCACACCCCTGTTTGACATTACCCCTAAAGCTCAAAAAACGTGTATTCAAGTACCTGAACAGCTGCAGTAGGAGGCCTTTAACACCGCCATGACCGCCGAGTTGACCCAAGGCCCGCCGCACTAGATTCGCGTACTCCGCCATAACCGACGGACTGTAAACGCCGACGGACGGACGGTCACGCAGTTTTACAGTTCCCCCTGCACACGAGCGCGCGGTTTGAGTTCCGCCAGCAATCTCTCTAGATAGATAACGTTGTTATCGTTAGGTAACGTGTACTAACTTGAGAAAAAAAGACATACTATATATAATACAATTGAAGCGTTCAAGCTTGACCGGAGAATGTTTCTGAAAGGTCTGGTTAACTCGAGCCTTTAATAAAAAATGTGACGCACAACACAAACATATTCATTATTTAAACATCACAGAGTTCACAAGGTACTGCTCGAAATGAACACGTTTGACCAATACATTTCCATGACTTCCGTTTCTTTACAATTTGTCTTTATACAGAGATTGCACTCACAGAATATTATAATAGAACAGAATAATATTTTGCCAATTCAATATATTAGAGCATAAACAGAAAAAAATGTACATAAACTACAGAAATTGCCATGACTTTTCCAGGGATGGAGAAAAGATGGGAGTTTTCTGTGACCGTGGGAACCCTGTATATCACAACAAATGTGTTCATAAAAAAAGGGAACAGGCGAACAAATGCCAAAATACCAACATTTTTTCCCCTTGATTTGACATTTATTATTCCTATTTACACGATTCATATACATACAGAGAAAGTCAGTGCTTGGGGAGAGGGGAGGGGGCACAAAGCTCTCTCAGAAACAAGTTCTCAAGAACAGGTTCCTTTCACTTCCTGTGTCTTTATAGACACTTTTCTAAACATACGTACAAGCAATACAATAACAGCCCAAACGATCCAATCGCAGAAGTTGCCAGTAATCCATTTTATCCATACTACATAACCTATAGACATAATAACGGGCCAAATGAAAAAGCAAATTCATAACAAAATGATTTTCTTATTCGAAATGTATGATTATATCATAACGCTCGCTGTTTTGGCCCAAAGGGTCTGAGTGAGCAAAGCCAAGGACTTTTTAAAGCTGATGAGCGGGGCTTCAGTCACTCAGCGTTGCTGATTGGCTGGCTGTTGTAGTCGGTAGACTCCATTTTGAGGATGTAGGGAATGATGCTGTCGATCTGGACGTTCCCGATGAGACCGGCGAAAAAGAGCTCCTCGGTCACCGCAGCGCTCATGAGCCGCAGGGCGGGCAGCCGAACTAACAGTTTTGAAAGACTAGCAGAGAAAGAGAATTTATATATTGGTAATATTCACATCTACGATATCAAACTATACATAACATTTCAGAATATTTCAGATTCATTTGATTGTTGGGTGTAATGCACTACTAAGTAATTACTTACTGTAATTTAACAAAGTAGGCGATTACTTAATTACAATTACTTCTGATGTAATTGCATTAAATACTGTAGACTGAACAATTCTATATAAAACAATAGTGGATTTAAAGTTTATGTATTTTTTAATGTAACCTCCTCCCTTTCAATACATGCAATTTTAGAATAAATTTATGCAATTTTATATTACTTAAAAGGATTAAAAACACAGTTCTATCCTTGTATTGTTTAGCTGGATTTAGAAATTTTAAATTTTTATTTTTTAAATAAAATAATAATTTTTATTTAATTTTTTTTATAAATTTTATTTAAATAAAATATTTTTTTTTAATTAAGAGTTTAATTGGTACAGTAATCGAATTACACTATTGAAGATGTAATTAGTAGCTGTTAATGAGTAACTAAACTACACCTACAAGTCACTCACCGATATGTGTCCTCTGGATACACTTTGCTCACATAATCCTGCAGTTCCATGTATGCTTTCTCCTGAAACCGTTCAATCTGAAGGGTGCCGTCCACTCCGGAGTGATCTGCGACAAACACGCACACAATCAACTTAATTCTAACCTTCATTTCCCTCCATAGTTTTCAGATACTCTCCAGTTGTGCTCACCCGGGCTGAAGAGAACCACAGCTTTGAGGTAAGCGTATTCATATGCGTCAGGACTCATGCGACTCATACTGTTACAGAATTCCTGCATACGCCAGATGTGCTCCATAACTTGCTTCACCCGCTCTGGGGATAGTTTGTCTGTTGAACACACGTACACATCACTCATTATAGGTGTATGCGCTTCAGTGAGATAACTAAAGCTGGTTTTCAAACCGAGAATTTTTTTTTTAGGACTGAGCTTCTGTTTATGTTCGCTGATCAATGTTTAAATGTGAATACAAGCCTAATTAAATCAGTATATCATATAAAGTGATCGGAGTCTCTTCAGAACATTTTAGACTAAACCGCTCAATTCATATGGATTAGTTTTACAATCTCTTTATGAACATTTTGAAGTGTCAAAGTGGTAGTTGCGTAGCTGTTAAAGGATTAGTTCACTTTTGAAAAAACTTTTGCTGATAATTTACTCACCCCCATGTCATCCAAGATGTCCACGTCTTTCTTTCTTCAGTCGAAAAGAAATTAAGGTTTTTGATGAAAACATTCCAGGATTTTCTCCATATAATGGACTTCAATGGGAACCAAACGGTTCAAGGTCCAAAAGAAACTTTCAGTACAAACTGCAAACTTGTTCAAAGGTCTTTAAACGATTCCAGACGATAAATAACGGTCTTATCAAACGAAACGATCGCTCTTTTTTTTTTTTTTTTTTTAAATAACAAAGTTTAAGTTTTATAATACGGAGGCGTATTGCATTCACTTGAAGAAAAAAAATCTACTCTGTTTTTCTGAATTAACGAGTTAATTTTTCATGAGAAAAAAAATTTTGGTCTGTTTTTCTGAATTAATGAGTTAATTTTTCATGAGAAAAAAAAATTTTGCTCTGTTTTTCTGAATTAATGAGTTAATTTTTCATGAGAAAATTTTTTTTTTGCTCTGTTTTTCTGAATTAATGAGTTAATTTTTAATGGAATTTTTTTTGCTCTGTTTTTCTGAATTAATGAGTTAATTCAGAAAAACAGCAAAAATAAATTTTCTCGTGAAAAATTAACTCGTTAATTCAGAAAAACAGAGCAAATTTTTTTCTCATGAAAAATTAACTCATTAATTCAGAAAAACAGAGCACATTTTTTTTTCTCATGAAAAATTAACTCATTAATTCAGAAAAACAGAGCAAAAACTTTTTTTCTCAAGAAAAATTAACTCATTAATTCAGAAAAACAGAGCAAAAACTTTTTTTCTCAAGAAAAACTAACTCGTTAATTCAGAAAAACAGAGCAAAAACTTTTTTTCTCAAGAAAAACTAACTCATTAATTCAGAAAAACAGAGCAAATTTTTTTTCTCATGAAAAATTAACTCGTTAATTCAGAAAAACAGAGCAAAAACTTTTTTTCTCAAGAAAAACTAACTCATTAATTCAGAAAAACAGAGCAAATTTTTTTTCTCATGAAAAATTAACTCATTAATTCAGAAAAACAGAGCAAAAACTTTTTTTCTCATGAAAAATTAACTCATTAATTCAGAAAAACAGAGCAAAATTTTTTTTCCTCATGAAAAATTAACTCGTTAATTCAGAAAAACAGAGTAGATTTTTTTTCTTCAAGTGAATGCAATACGCCTCCGTATTATAAGATCAAACGCTCGCCTTGCTCTGTTCTGTGATGCACGTTCGTGACTCTCCTGTTCGAACTCGTTCAACAAAATGAACAAATCTTTTTCCGAATCAATTCATTCGTTTCTTTCGCCGAATGAACTAAATGACTCGGAAAAAGATTTGTTCATTTTGATGAACGAGTTCGAACAGGAGTGCGTTACAGAACAGAGCAAGGCGAGCATTTGAGCTTATAAAACTAAAACTTTGTTATTTATTTATTAAATGAGTGATCGTTTCGCTTGATAAGATCCATATTCATCGTCTGGAATCATTTAAAGCCCTTTGAACAGTTTGCAGTTTGCACTGAAAGTTTCTTTTGGACCTTGAACCGTTTGGTTCCCATTGAAGTCCATTATATGGAGAAAATCCTGGAATGTTTTCATCAAAAACCTTAATTTCTTTTCGACTGAAGAAAGAAAGACATGGACATCTTGGATGACATGGGGGTGAGTAAATTATCAGCAAAAGTTTTTTCAAAAGTGAACTACTTTAATGGAGGGAAAGACAGCTCTCAGATTTCATCAGAAATACCTTCATTTGTGTTGTGAAGATGAACGACACGAGAGTGAAGAATAAACATTTTTGGGTGAAATAACCCTTTAATATATTACTAATGTATGTTAAACATATAATCTGACCAAATTTAGAAAATATATAACATTCAAAAAAGGTGAAAGGTCCACATACCTTCATCCAGGCTGGTCTGTAAGTGGTTGATTATAGCCGTGAGGATCGTTTCTACATTCATAATGTGTGAACACTGAGCCAGACCTAAAGCAAACAACTCATTCCAGCAGGCCTTCATCAGTGTGATGCTGTTCTCTGAGCTGAGCACCAGAAATACACAGAATAAAATAAGGATACAGCTACATTTACAAATAAAAATCATTACACAGCACATTGCGATTTGAATTAGGTGTAGGGGACCAAATAAGGTATGAATGGCCATTTATCGCAGTTCTCTTCCACTATCCGAGGGAAAAATTTGAATTTATCATATCCACAAGTTTCCGAAGGGCGCTCCTGTAAAAAATAAAGTGGGTGAAACTTCCGGTGAGGCGGCGGAAGTAGCGTTCCAATGGTATTTTGTGTGTTAGTTAGCGAAGAGGCTAGCTGTTTTTCGGAGAATTATTTTACTATTTAAAGACGCAAATCTTTATGAGAGATGTCGTTACGGAGCTCAGGGGCAACATGTGCTGTTCGCGGTTGTATGTATAACCGGACTAAACTAGTTCAGTGGCTTAAACGTGATTGTTTTGAACATAAGCTGAAAACGAAATCAGAGTGATCCAGAGCCCGTCTCTGATCCTGCCAACGACTGTAGTTTCCATCACCTCCCAAAAGACGACGAATCTTCCTGTGTACATTTGTTTAAATTCTTAATATTCTATAAACTCTCTCAGCATGTGTTTGGCTGTTCGCTACTGATGTTACACCTAAACTCAGGATCAAAGCCTGTG